TTTTTTTTTTTTTTTTTTTTTTTTTTTTTTTTTTTTTTTTTTTTTTTTTTTTTTTTTTTTTTTTTTTTTTTTTTTTTTTTTTTTTTTTTTTTTTTTTTTTTNAAATGCGCCACCCACCTTGAGATATAAGTTCTAAGGTCTCAATTATAGTTACAACGGCTGCCCCACCCTTCAAACCGAAACGCATTACTGCTTCACGGCAGAAATAGGCAGGGTGGTGGTACCTACCCGTGCGGACTCACAAGAGGTCCTACCACCAGTAATTACGCAAATTATAATTTTGCGGGTTTCATTTTTATTACACGATGTTATTCCTTCACCGTGGAAATCAATCGTGAACATTTGTTGAGTACGTATTTCATTAGAAAAATTGGTACCCGCCTGCGGGATTCGAACACCGGTGCATCGCTCAACACGAATGCACCGGACGTCTTATCCGTTAGGCCACGACGACTTGAAATACTCGATTTATCGAATTAATACTCGATTGCAAATTGCTGGTTCTTCTGTTAAAATATGATTTAAAAAATGTTAGGTTATTTTATTGCAGTGTCACATCGGCTGGCACAAGGCCACTTAACAATGGTTGTTCAGCGGATCCTTTATCTTTTGTCGAAACATTTTTACTGGCTACATTTTTATACTCCTATTTCATTTCGTATTTTTCGTTATTTCTTTATTATTTAACATAAAAGCTTACAGTTGTGGTAAGTGGTAGTTTTCATGGGTATTCATGTAGTTTCTAAATTCGTGTCTAAAATTATTGTCTTCTTACTTGGGCCTTTTTAGGTTAAACTTCTGTCTGTATACATATATGAAATGTATTCAAACGCAAATAGTGTGAAAGAACACTACCCATATAGGAAAACCTTGTATAAGTTCATATTTTAATATATATTTATTTTGCATATGAAGACACAGCGTAGCTGAATGTGAATTAAATATGGATATTAAATTAGTATATTATTAATCGTAATAAATTACTTACTCTGAAATTTATCATATTAACATTGAATATTCCGAGAACGAAATACTCGTAGAATTGTATGAAGCAAGATATTACAGATAAGAAAAAAGAAAACTCGATAATGTAGCAAGAGTTATAAAATGAAAAATTAATAATTTAGGAAACGATAGCTTAAATTAAAGTCTACTGTATCGAGTATTTCATCCACTTATTTCCGTAAAATTGAAATTTCGGTAGGTTTATAGGTATATACTAATAGAAGTTCGGTAGGTATATACTAATAGAACATATAATATTAAAATTTATTTGTAGTAAATTATATAATGTAATTTAACGTATTCATCGGTTGTAGATAGATATTTTTTTATTGCTTGGATGAGCCACCCACTTTGAGTCATGTGTTCTATGGTCTCAGTTTTACAGTACAACAACTGCCGCACCCTTCATACCGAAACGCATTACTGCTTCACGGCATAAGTATTTATATTATAGTAGTGGGTATATTCCTGTTCGAACGCATGATTCTTTTATGACATGAATAAGCGGGACAGAGCTACGGTCTAGGGTTGACACACAAAATTACCTGCTTAAATTATGCTTTCTTTATTTGACGCAATATTGTTTCTTAATCGTGGAAGTCATTTCACTGGTGGTAGGTCATCTTGTGAGCCCGTGGGGTAGGTACCGCGGCCCCATCTAGTAATGTGTTCCCGTTTGAAGGGTTAGGCGGTCTTAGGGACTATGGCGGCCATTGTTGATGTCTATGGGCTCTGGTAAACACTGAACAACAGGTGGACAGTGACTTACTGTCATCAGTCTAACCAATACAAAAAAATAATGGTACGTATTCGGTACTTAGATATAATAGATTGCATTATTGAGAAATAATCTTTGTAACATGCATAAAGTAAATTAAAGTATAAGCATAAAGTGAAATAAAACTAATATACATTGGTTATAACAATAAATAAAACAAAATATAAATTGAATTTAATGTTAAAAGTTCAGGCAATCACGAAATTATTCAGTTTATTATTATTATTAATGATCAATACAAGTTTGATCCTATATTATGTTAAGACTATATATTTTATTTACTTATTATTTACTTCAGAATATAAATTATTCCCTAAGAGTATAAAGTAATTTACGACAAATTCACGCATAGGTATATTTACTTCTTAAAAACACAAACCACCTCTTCTTGAATATAAATGGGCTCCGTAATAAAGCATTTGAAAAATTATATTAAATTATATCATATTTAAATTTATAGATTTTAAAATTATTGCATATCAATACTCCAATAATATTAATAGATTAGATCCGTTTCTACTAAAAAGTGTAAATATAATTGAAACATTCAAATTTGTAAATTCCCATATCTGTATAAGCTTTAAGTATGGTTGGTGAATGTGTCCTGAACCTAAAATATCGACCGGCGAAAGCGAAAGTCCTTACATTGTACCTACAACGTAATTTTAAGTTGCGTGTGTGTTTATTTAATAAAAAATATTTAGTTTTTGGTTCGTGTGGGCGTTTGCAGAAGTTTTAAAATAGTGATGTCTTACTTTACCACTAATTCTAATACAGATCGTTGAGAAGTACCGGCCAACAAATTAGTAATTGCATTTTTGCATATTACACAATATATACAGTACTAAAATCAATTATAAAAAATAATTAGAAGAAACAGATTGGTATCACTAATCTCTGACGAAATAAATGCTTAGCATGCAATGTGGCTATGTGGAGCACTATTTCAATTTAAGTAGACGTTAGAGAATTTCATAGGTACTATGCCGTAGTACCACCACCTATGGAATTCTCTAAGCATTTGAAGCATGAAGTTAAACCGTAAATTTAATTACATTAAAACGGTGATCTTAGCTCTCAGACTGGAATGCCATACTATTTCCAAAAATATTCACTTGCCTTGCCCGAAAATAACTAAACTAACTAAAAAAATTATGATTTTAGTAAATGGTGTTGCTTCATTGAATCGCTGTATTTGTGCTGTTAGCAGACGCTGTATGATTTACGTTCCTTTAAATATAGTTATTTGATGTGTTTTAAGTATGAGAGTGAAATATTGTCGCTTGTTATGTTGTCTACTACATTTAAGATAAAGTAACCTATATTCTTAAAAACAGAACCCGCTATGTTCTAAAAGAAATCTATATATTAATACGTGAAGCAAAAACTTTGTATCCTTTTTTACGAAAATTGCGCGGACGGAGGAGTATGAAATTTTCCACACTTATAGAGAATATAGAGAAGAAGTGCACAATGCTAATATTTTTTTAAAAATAATGCATAAAAGATACATTAAATTAATAAAGAAAACATTACACACACACACACACATATACTCTTCGTTTATTGTCAAACTGTTGTTATTGCTTAAAGTCTGCAGTCAAATTGAGAATAGGTTAGTATTGTTTATCTTTAATATTACGAGTATTTGTCTATAGCGTAGCCTTGGCGAAATCTGTAACAATAGGACCATAATAATGTTGAAACTTATAATTTCAATTAATTATAGTCGAATTTCGACTACTGCGGTACCACTAGTTACAAATCATTGTTGTTCCCTGTCAGACTATAAAAAAAAGGAAAGCATAAAAATGGACGTAAAGATTTTGCGTCAACGTCCAATATCCAACTGTCCGGTATAGCAGAGAGCAGACGGAGGCGTATCTACTCTTCTAAATAGTACTTCTCGCGCCCCAGGAATTTAAAACTACTTCAGCTGGAATTTTATTGCAGTGTCGTTGACATTTTCTTGGGCACTTTAAACGATTTAAGCTTCCCTTGAAAACGGATTACCATTTTAGCTTTGACAGATGCAATATTCTTTAGTTTCTTCCCTTTAGAACAATTTGTTATTTGTAGTTCAATTTGTCGGTTCTCGAATGTTAGATTAGATTGAAACTTATATTAAAGGTCTTTTTTTTTTTGAAAAATAACCGTTTTAGTCTTATTTAACAATTAACGCAATAAACACGCAGTTCAAAATTAATATATATTTTTTTTATTTTCTATCGATTGGAATAAGTTCAAATACACCAAAATTTTTATCCCTGCCTATTCGCTGGTAGTCTAAGGGACTATTCCAGATTCTCTCGGATGGGGAGCACCGCAATATTAATCACGATCCAATTGGTTCAGCCATATGAAGACTCAAGTAAAAAAGAGGACAGGACTTTAGCTTCGATTTAAAATATATTGTGCGCAATATGACTTTTTGGTGAAGTTCACTCGTTTTCGTGATTATCTAATTGCATAGCCCGGAGGTCTCTCTAATTTTAGCAGGACGGGAGGACGAGCACGGGCTCAGCCAGATGTGATGGGATTTGTGAGCGCTACTGAGGCCATCCACTACCGTATTGGAATAGGGACCCGCTGATTAGACACGATAAGTCGGCGGGCCGATGCTTTGAGCTAAGGTTGAATTCGTAACATCTTTACTAGGTATCTCATATGTATGGTATTTATGATAAACAAGGCGTAAGATTAAGTAATTCTACTAAGTTTAACAACTATTAGAGGTTCCTAAATTTATATAATATTTGTAGCGTGTGATGCTTCTGGTTGAAGCAATTTAAATTTAAAATAATTCTGACAATTTCAAAACGTAGTTCTTGATTTAAATCTCTGAACTGCCAATATATTTATTTCATTTCAATGTACATTTATTCAGTTGTTTTGTTTAATTGAATAATATAATTATCATGTATACAGGAACGATATTAATGTAATCATACGTACATAATTTATTTGATTATTTTAGTGTAGTTGTTCTCGATATAAATTATTTCTTTTATATGTGTAAGATGAAATTTCGAGGGTTTTTACTTCGAAATACGATTCTTCTTCGGCTTTAAAAATTAAACAGGAAGAGATATTACTTTATAATGAAATATTATAATAAATGTGATAGTTCTGAGAAAAATTAAATAAACAGTAAGTTAGATCAGAGCTTCAGCAATAGAAATCAAAATACAATCGCAGTGTTGTCGTGGTTCCTGACCTGTTCTCCCGGTGCAGGTGAGGGGCGGCTGCATCCCGTCCTGCATCAATCCTGGATTAATGTTCGTGTAGAATTCTAACATGGTCATGTGGTATAGGGACTGTGGGACACTTCACGCGCGGAGACGCTCTCGCGCCGACGGTCGACCTCACTGTGACGCGAGCTTTAAGCCTGACTACAGCACCATAACCCTCACAATGCTGCCGAGGGCCGCGCGACCCGCCAATGGCGACTGCTCACCCGGCCCCGCCTCTCGTCGACGCCACCTACCTATTATACAGAAAGGGGATATATTTCGCCACTCCGACGAAACGGCGGGCGAATTGTGTTTTTTCGTTTGCCAAAAAAACCGCCGGTCAGACAGACGGCATAAGCGCAGTCATTATTGAATACTGAAATCGTTGAAAACTGTGTTATTAATTTCGTTTACTCCGCCTCGAGGGAGTCGAGATAAAGTTGAACAAGTTATCTCGAGCGTTGTCAATCGCAGTCTCTCATTACCGTCAAAATGTTTGTACATTTTTGCATACGTAATTCTTATATCAGACTTATGTTCTAGATATCTAGTTTTAATATTATTTTACTGCTTTTCTTTAAATGCAGTATAAATGTATGTTGACCCTTTTTTATTGCTTAGAGGGGTGGACGAGCTCACAGCCCGCCTGGTATTAAGTGGTTACTGGAGCCCATAGACATCTACAACGTAAATGCGCCACCCACCTTGAGATATAAGTTCTAAGGTCTCAGTATAGTTACAACGGCTGCCCCCACCCTTCAAACCGTAAAGCATTACTGCTTCACGGCAGAAATAGGCGGGGTGGTGGTACCTACCCGAACGGACTCACAAGAGGTCCTAGTAACCTTGTGATTCATCTTAATCACTCCCTATTCGACCTGCGAACTTGTACATCTAAAGTACTACCGCGTTAGGAAGTTGTGTTGTATATACCTACTCGTAACGCTAACAGCCTAAACATGCTTAAAGGGGCTCTGTAGTGTAAGCTTTTGCCGGGCATCGAACCGTGCTTTCGGAAACTTGGTTGAATGCTCAAAGTTATTATGTTTTCCATTAAGCATTCCTGAGAATTTCGGGTATTAAAGGGCGAGCTTTGCGTATCGTGTTTTAGTTCTTTGAACCGTATGACTTATTGTTATTTAGTTAATATAATCGAATGACTTGTACCCATTAGATCTATTTTTGTGAATTGTGTGAAGTTTACGGAATATCGAATGTCTCTCTCTAAGTTTGAGAAGAGTATTATTTATTTAATTGGAAAAATAGTGGACATAATTTGATCTTTTTCCACGCTTACGTCCTTTGGAAGTTTGTGGTTCAAATGAATATGGAATATCAATAAAACAGCGGTGACAGAGATGAAAAAATACGATGTTATAAAATTAATTTCTATGTAGAATAGTTAACGAATTAACTATACTATTACTATAATCATAAATATGTATTATTACCATTTTGGTAAATTAAATTCTACCTTATTACGTATAACTAAAATTTTGCTACTAAACCTGGTGTACAAAACGGTCGTTGTAAAAACCTGACCGCTATCGAACGCAAAAAAAATGTTCAAAAGAATTGCAAATATCATTCGTTTGCAATTTGCAAATATGATGTAGTTTATTTAAAAAAAAAACGACCTAGTAACAAATTGTTTATGTCCTATGAAATTTAGTAGTTTAGTAAATGTATTTTTTTGGCCGCGTAGGCAACCGAGCATACGTCCCACCTGATGATGAGTGGTTATCGTCGCTCATGGATGTCAGTAATGCAAGAGGCAGAGCCAACCCTCTGCCTACCGCTTGATACTCACACAAGCCTTGTTTGAAGAAGGACTAGTCATAGCGCTCGGGAAACACCGTGGAGGGGAGCTTATTCCAAAGCTGGATGGTACGTGGCAAAAAAGATATCTGGAAACGCATTGTGGATGAACGCAGTGGCTCAAGGTAGTATGGATGAACTCTACTCCCTGTATTTTTAACAACCACCTTAGAATAATACCACTGTCCTACTACCTATTTGTGTCACAATGCATTCGTGCTTTCTGATCTGAAGCATAAGAGATATATTGAAATTAAGACTAATATCGTACAGTGAGTATTAACTTTATTATATCGTCTAGCCAGTTATAAAAATATGAAGGTATACAAAACAGGCCTTTTCACTAGCTCTAAGAACGAAAAGGAAAAAAATAAAATCGTAGCGAGCGCATCAGCCACTCTTTGAATTCGAACAGTTCCAAGTTGCACTCGAAAACACAATGAGTCTTTTCATCGTGTTTATCAAGGCCAAAATCCGTGTTCCATCATCAGCAAAACGAATAAAACGTGTTATTGCTCCGGCGGCAGAGGAGATACCGCAGGGGCACTGGATAGACTATTGTGCTTCAAGTGGGCCAATTCTCCCATTGAACCCGTACTTGCGCCATCCGCCATGTAAACAACATAGAAGCGAGAAAAATTTTGAGCAGTTCTGGATGTGGCATTAACTTCGGAATTTGAAAATAATATGTTTTCTACAAATGTCAGATGAATGTACCTATGTATCAAGTGAATTGTAGAAATCGAAATGTTACTTATTCGTTGTTAAATAGCTGTCCTTGTTTAAATATTTATTTTCAAAGGTTTTCATTGCTACTATAGGCAATACTTTTAAAGGAAGAAGACGAAAAGAAATTTTTGAATTTTTATGTATTTATGTATGCATATACGTTAAATATCTTACGTATCTAAGAAGTTAAATCGTTAATATCACTATTTCACTTCAAGTCTAATTGCAGAATAATCGGTTCCGATTAATTATGTTTTTCTTAAATAAATACATTCACAAATTTTCATCTCAATAAAACATACCGTATCTAATCATTATCAATCCGTTCACATTCACAGAAATTAGATTGTGTTTTCATTGCTCAAACGCAGTGAATAGCACTGCGTGCGTTTTTTGCTCCATTGTACGGGTCTCTCCACCACTTTAAGCTGTTCGGTGCAATGATCACGGATGGCCAACCGAGAACTGACGAGTTAAAACGGGTTACCAGATTCTAAACGTATGTTATACGGGAACTTTTATGATTTCGTAATATTTACTTCATCATGCAAATCTTGTGTTAATATAATGTTGCTTTAGTTTTATCATCGCGTATTTTTGTTAAACTTTTAACGTGAATGAATTTCTGATAAAATTCTGTTAAAATTGTTTTATGTTAACGAAATTGTGGGCACCTACACTTACGTGCTCACAATATGCCCTAGAGTCTTTTATTACGAAAATTATACATTGATCAAATAAACCGAAATGGTCTTACTCTTTTTTTATTGACCTTGTAGACAGACGAACATTCGGCCCATCTGGCGGTGAGCGGTTACTGTCGTCCATGGACTTCAGCAATGCTGGGGGCAGAGCCAAGCCGCTGCCTACCGTTAAATACATTCCACCCCGTTTAAAGAAGGACATATCATATTCAGAGTGACACTTATTTTTTTAATTGGTTATGGCTGCTGTTTGTCCAAAAGCCTTTACAGATACGCCTGGATGGATGAGCATGCTCGAGGAGTCTATTTGAAGGGCTTATTCTGTTTAGACTCGTGGCTATTCCCAGGACCTATGGTCCATATAATCGCTGTTAGACCGTGACTCCTGTGCCATGCGCCGCGTAACAAATCCTGAATTATCAAATGTACTACATAAATGATGAAATACAGTTTTATAGTCAAATGAATTCAACTAAAACGAGAACAAAGTAAATTAATTTGATCTTCGTTCTTTGTTTCAACATTATAATTAACTTCAGTAGTAGTGGATTTTACTCATTCATAATAGTACATTTTTGGTCTTCTTGATACCGATAAATATAATACGCATTAATATCTAATAAAAATCTCGCTATCACAAAGAAAAACTATGTAGTTGTTTTAATGTATAGAAAAACTCGTAACATTTCAACATTAAAATGAAAAAAAGTACAATAATATTCCAAAATTAAGAAAAAAAACCGAAGTCAGAATAAATTGTACGGAGACTCTGGTAACACTGTCGAATGAGAACTTGAATTTTTAAAGAAAATACACTCAACGTCAACTGAACCCGAGTAATACGATTATAATTGTGTTCGGTTATACAAAAGTTGTTTGTATTGCTTACGTTAAACTTGAACCCAAGGATAAGGCTTCGCGAACTACTTTAGATTGTCGCGGAATATTCGAAAATCAAGATCCGTGCATCAAGTATCTGCATCTTTTTATAATTATTATTGTTTTTTCCTGCTTATGTTGATAGCCATGAGAGGCTATTTCAGCTTCGCCCTAACATGTAGGTGATCTCACGGGGCTCAAACCGGATTATTGCTAGTACTGGCCCTGGCAAGAGCAGTGCTTCGCAGAATCTTCAACCGGATCGGAAACGCGACCCACTGAAAAGATCCGGTGAGAAACTCAGTGGGCTGTGTCTGTGGGTTAAGTATCAGCATCAGCTAGCGTTAGATTATCTGCTATTTTTGTAACGATAACAACTACTATATTTGTTTTAATGTTATCAAAGTAATTATAAATTAAATTTTAACGTTTAAATCCTCGAAGGGACTATATATTCTTACTAGACGACTGAAAAGTGAAAGGAGGGTTATGTTTTGTATTATTTTTCGATTATTTGCTTTCTTTTGCTTCCCGCTGTCGTTTTTATGATTTTTCCTAATAAAATGCTTAGTTTGTATTTATGTTGATTTCTCTGTAAAAATATCACATCAGAATCGTAGTGAAAAGTAGTGTACTGTTATCTACTCATAATATTTGTTAAACGTTCAACTGTATCTATTAATTAATACTATATCTTCCCCTTTATGATTTTTGCGCAACATTAAATAGAACATCTTCTGCTTTCATGAAAATTCAAGTCTCGACTCTAGTTAATTTAACAATGTTATGAAATTGCATTGAAAGCTTCACTCAAGTTTTTGTAACGTATTTAACGAGAACGAATAGACATAAGGTTCGTCAAAATCAATTAAGATCCTACGACTTTAGCATACTTAGATGTGCGATCTCAACAAATGCAGAATTATATCAACTTTATTGGTA